AAAATGATTTTTAGTTTTCTCCAAAACGGCCCGTTTTCCGCATTTTGAGCGTTTTCGACATTTATAACTGAAAACGCTGAAAACGATAAAAAGTCGTTTTGCGTTTTCAGTTATAAATTTTAACTCATTTTCGAAAATGCGTTTCCGAAAACGAAGGACCAAAAGTGTTTTTCGCGTTTTGAAAAACGAAAAATGGAAAATGGGCCGAAAACGGCAAATCAACCATGGCCTAAAACTCTTATGGCGAGTCTATGTGGAGCTTCTCATGTAACAAAATTCCCATTCTAAATGGCAGTCTATTCAACACAAAGTACTTGATGCATCCAGTCAATCCAAAAATTCAAACGTGAGACTTACATAATTTTATGAGTCAAATAATTTTATCCATACTACCCAATTTACCCTTGACCGAATATAGCCTCCAATCAAATTGCGGAAACGTAGTTGACAAGGTCACTTACGGAATTCCATACCCTATGTTGACAAATTCGTAATTCCCGCCATAACACCAGCCTATCAGATGATGCCATACAATGAGCATGAATGACCTTTTCCAACGTTTCCTTGTTCAACACGTAACCTTACTGCGATTCAACAAATGCTGCTTAGTAAAATTATTTTTTCAATTCAAAGTGTTGCATTATTCCAACAAATCTCCTATAAATGCTGCATTTCCGTGCTAGATTCACATATCCACCCCCACAAAGTTAATTGGGAATACAAAAATTCTGCATTCTTTCTTTGTTCAAGAACAGATATTTTTGCGAGTCTCGATGGAATTTAAGAGGGCATGCACTCTATTGATCATCTTCTTTATCGTTGTTGCTGTCTCTAGTGAGGTCCGAATCGAGGCAGCAAGAGTTTTATCGGAGGATTTATCCGGCTCGAATCACCTTGCTACCTTTCCGGCAATGTACGAGAAGGCGAAATTCACCATGTCTTACTGGCTTGAAAGGTTACCATCTGGATCTAGCCCCAAAGGACCAGGCCACTAATTGAACATTTGGAGGGCATTTCTTTCAATATAAAGGACACTACAAAAAAATTTAGCATTGCAGGCACGGCACCGGTGTGTTTTTTATATATAGGGATGCCATAAAAACTATATTTTTCTATTTTCCTTCTTGCATTCTTTCTTTATTCCTTTGTTGGTTAATCACAACCAAATCTTATACAATTTAATTATGTAAATGAAATAAATGCATTTTTTTTTATTAATTACTCTGTCTCTGTATACCTTTAGATGTCAACAATATTGTTCAAGAACAGCAGAATTTTAACTAAACTGAAAGTCTCTTTCTGGTCTATTGTGATTGCGTTTCACTTGATAGAAAGAAAAAACAAAGGAATGTTGATAGGGATTTTATCTTATTAAAAAGATGGTCTAGACTGAGGATTAACCATGCTTGGACGTCCAATTGGTTTTGTGATCATAACTGGATAGTTGGGCTTGGTACACCTTGTGGGTTTTGGTCCATGTTGATGCAATGAATAAGTGTAGGTCCATTGAATTTTCATGATGAGTGTACATTAAGCTCTGTTTGGTAGAGATTAAAATTACAGAATATGTGGTTCAAAAGTTGTGAATCTTGTAAAATATATAGTTAAAAATAATTGTTAATTTTGACTTGAATTTTAATCAGATTTTTTAGCGGTGAAAAATAGGGGCTAAATATAGATGCACATTATGACTAGGTCCCCTCTTCTCTCTAAGAAAATCCTAAATAGTTTTGGTTTGATGTCGAAACTATAGTCGTCAATACAGTTCGAAGTGTAGGGGAAGATTTGGCCCAGGTGTCTGCATACCTTTCATGATGGATCAACAACAACTACGGCTAAGCTAGCTTGGGATCTTTTCATTTTTTATTACGAATTCTACTCTCTGGTAGCAATTCATGTTGGAGGAAAAAAAACAAGCTTTTGGGGCTAGATTTGACATAATTTTGAGTGGGACACGTTTGATCATTTTGAAAGATCAAAATTAATTCGTGTTCTCCTTCATAAAACAACAAAATCATATATTTACTTGTCAAAAATGATATTCGGATGAATGAGAAATTGAAATTTAAAGTGATGAATTGGAAGAGGTTACTGTTTTGGAAGGAAAACTTAAAAAGCTTGTCCCACTTAGGAAGTTTACAAAGGTAAAAGACTACTTTATATATGGTTACAGATTGTATGATCATGTGTAGTGTAGAGACTTTTTTCATGTATGTACAAGATGCAAATTAAGGATCGAAACAGAACTTCAAACCTTGAACTTGTGTGCGGATGCAACCTAAGTACACGAATGTCAAATCGAACAAATCAAAAATTGGCCCCTTAGGGGCTCCATATTTTCCCTTTATTTCCTATAAATTTTTTATTTTTTTTGTTTTTTCCTTTCAAATTGACTCTTCAACTCTAAAAATTGAAATATAAATGTGAAGTTATTTGGCCAAGTTAATGGTGGTGTTGAGTGCGTAACACGTAATTGCTGCCATTCGTGTCACTCATTCATGGGCCATCAAGGCTCAATTTTCCGCATTCCACACACGAATTTCTTTCTACTTTTCCATATAGTTTTCACTTTTTGTCTGGCATAGTTTCTATCCAAAGTTTTGATGGCCAATTTAGATACAGACTCAGTTTGATGGTGTACAAATTGAAATCTAAGCACATGTGACGTGCCATCTTGAAAAATAAAATATAAATGTGTCTGCTATAGTCCTATTATAGTCTTCAACTAAGTGGTTCATGAGTTCAATGATGGGAATTTAAACTTATGTTCATGCTTTGTTCAGTTTGGAAATATTTGGAGTGGTGGGGAGCCGTAAAATATCTCGTCAAAATTTGGAAATATTTCGACGATGATCTCTATTCAATTATAGATGCTGAGACTATGGCACTTGAAGAAGGGCTTCACTTTGAACACCGATATGGTTATCATCTGGCAGTACTGGTTAAAACCTTGCTACATTTACCCTTTGGATTACATTTTGTCAGATGATATTATCCAATTGGACGGATTAAATTTTAAATAGCTTTTTCATCACATGCATTATTGAGAACAATACAAGTGTCAACCAAAATATATAATTCAGTGTACAAATGACAAAATTCTTCACTTTGTAGGATCCAAAATTTTTTGGGGACTTTACTTCCCCACCGAATGCTTGTATTGTGAACGATGTCTCATCATTGCAATAGTTAGCTGGAGATAGTTAATAGTTTCCTGTTACTACGTTCAAAGTGGTGCACGAGCTGACTTCTTGCGTCTCTTGTATTCGAAATTCTTTTGATTGGACAATTTGTATTCCGAGTATATTGTGCCTGCAAATCGCGGCGACAATGGTTAATGAACTAATTTATTTTTATTTTTATTTTAAAATATATAAACATACATATAGGAGGGTCGAGAGGTGGTTGCCTCAGGTCCAATATATTTAGGAGCTTGTAAGCCTAAAATCGTGTTATTTTTTCTTTAATTGAAAATGTTGGCCAACACAGCATAAGTTCAAATCTAATTAAAAACATCTACCAAATGAAAATGAGTGTACACATAGCATTAAACCCCCCTCACATGGAGGGGGATCCACATGTAATAAAATATTCGTGGGTCCTCCTTCATATGAGGGGGGTATAAGCCTGTGTACACACAACATTTTCCAATGAGAAGAATACCCTCCAATCCATCTTCTCCTCAATTTGAAAGTTGAAACCCCTAGCTTCAATTTCAAAGTTCAGACCATCCATCTCCATTTTCATTCCGGAAAATAACCGTCTGTACATTCCAAGGCAAGTCGGATTTTGCATCGCTGAATTTTTTTTCCTTACATATGCCTACATGATGATAAAAAGAAACAAAAGAATATAGACAGCCCAAATTTTGAAGTTCTAGAAAATTATTATGAACGAAAAAAATTTATATGCATATTACGATTTGAGGGCCCAACTTTTAATGTTTGACTTAGGTCAAAAAAACCTAAAGTCTAGTCCTAATTTTGACGTCCTAGAATTTTCTTGATCACTTTGATATTTGTACAAAGAGTAGAATATTGTGTATCTAGCAAAGTTTAGGTTATATTTTTCTATAATGCTGGAGGATTTATGTGAAAGAAATGGCCATGCCACTCCTAGAGGTGCATGTGGCGTTCGCTATTAACTGGACACAAATAGAGGTATTTCGTTCAAGGCAGATGTGGCCCTGGACGAATAGCCATTATTTATATCTATCTCTTCTTATCTTTGTGTTTCTTAATTTTTTCAGAATAAGGATCAAATTGATTAACCAAAAAAATGGATCAAGTGTCTTTCAGAGTGTTAGAACATATACATTATATTGATGATGAACTCATAGAAAATTCAAGCTCTAGGGTTATACTGCAATTTTTCAACAAGTTTGCTTGACATGAGGCAATTTAAAATTTTTAAAATTTAATATTCTGTGAGATTATAGTCCATGCAGTGTATTAATTTCGCATTTTGAAAATTGTGACTGTCAAAGTTTATTAATTTTCTAAAGTATCGTCATCAATAGTTGCAAAACAGAGAAAAATTCTCGGCTCTTTTTCTGTCAATGGGAAGATTTGTTGGGAAATTTTTCAAAAAGCGTGACAATTTAAAGAAGTGTCAATTTATAAATTATAAGAAAACAAACTGGTGGAGAATTTTCTTTCGATGATAAATGGTGACAAAATCTAATTGGAATGAATAATTGCAGTGTTTTCCTTATGCCGGATGAACACGGAGAAAAAAGTTAGGTCAATAATTCACTAAATATGTGATTTTTTTCCTCTAAGTGACTATAGTTGAATAAAGAAAAAATTATACGTGACTATATTTTTGGTCTTCCTGATATTTCTCTTCGAAAAATATTTGTGGGCGAATCAAGTAATTGTTCTCAAACTTCAACATTGTATGCTGACAGCTCACTACACCAGGCTTGCATCCTTTTTATTTTAATAAAATCATAGCGAGGGATCATTTAAAGAAAACAAGTCAAATCAATATGTATCATAAAAGACTAAAAGTATAATTTTATTGATGTTTTATTATACAGATCCATAAATGATAGCTGCTAAGAGCTTTATTTCATCACTAAGCTTTATTGTCGATGCATCACATATAGGTGAATACAAGAACCACAACTTCTTAAGCAAATGGCCTTTGGTTGTAGCAGTCCAAATTAGGGCCATAGCCAACTCCAAGTAAGTCACAGTATCTCTTGTAGAAGCCAATCCTATCTTCCACTTGTGGGTTGGAACCTTTACCACATTCAATTCCACCATTAATGATGTTGGTAACAACACCGTAGCCGGGTAACCGACCGGCAGTCGAGTCTGCAGCCGAGGGTCTCCATCTCCCACTGATTGCATCGTGGCACGAGGGCTTTGGCGTTTGTGGTGTCATCCAAAACCATAATGCAGTTTTGAATGAAATGGTTGGGTCATTTGCTACTGCGTCTGGGTTATTTAGTAGATCAGACCCTATGGCTTTTCCTGCTGGACCATAGTTGTAATTGCTGCAATCCAAGATTCAAGAAAGTATTAAGATGTGCCCATTATTTTGAGTACAGTGTCATCAGTATTGCTTAAATACTTTCAGCTAAGCGATGCTAAAAATATTTACAGAATATTTGATAAGCAGTATTGAACAACACCATCAAGATTTTGTCGAGTGGTTGTCTAGTACTTCATGATAAACATGTTTGAAATTTTACACAATATTACTTACTAGGAAATTTGAATGGGGCCTCGACCGAAGTACTTTTTACCAGGAGCGCATGGCCACTGCTGGTTTGCAACGCAATAATCCGGTGGATTCCCTTCTTCTTGCTTGTGGCAATATCCCCACGCATATGGACCATCAGGAGCAGAAGACCATCCTCCTGTGTAATTCCACCAACAAATTTATTAAGCTTTTCTCGTAAAAAAAAAAAATCTCGTTTCGAACACGAAGGGTACGTTCGTTACAATATTTAGAAATGACTTGATATGTTTAGTCCACCTACAAAACATGCAAAACGTGTATATGAAATTAAATGCATATGCAGGATTTAAATGTGACCTGTTGTCTCATGCGAAGTTTGAGCCAAGAAGGCAGCAACTTCTCGTTTTCGAGTATCGGTATCGCCAGTGGTTCCGAAAGCTCCAAAGGAGTTGGCCGCAGCTATGAAAGCTTCATAAGTGTAAAATCCATTTGCAGGGCAATTTTTATCATTTCGATGCTTCAACATTTGATCAAAAATGGATTTGCTTATAATTGAACCCACCCCTCCTTGAGCCAATGCACCCATGAGGGATGATAGACACAACAAAACCAATACAAAAGTCTTCATTTTACTTTATAATAATTTTTCAAGTTGTGGGATTAAGTGTAGAGGAATTTGGGGTTTATATAAGGGAGAGGGATAGACTTTTCCACAGAAAATGATAATCTTTTTAATAAAAATCAAGGCTGCTACCACAATTTTGTGATAAGTGTAACACAATGAGCACATATAAGTCAGAGCCCTACACGTATTCTATAGTTGATATTGGCCACTGTCTGAGACAACTTAGTCATTCAAGTGAACGTACTTTTACCTAATTATTTTAAGGGATAATTGCAGCAGAAGTCCCAATTCTTTACAACACAAGCAAACTTTCCCCAAATCTTTGATTTATTGCAACCATCACCCCTAACCTTTTCAAACATTGCATATGGGGCCCTTTTGAATGATTTTCATCCAAAATTCTGTTAATTGACCAAAAAATTAATTTTGACCATATTTTAATAGTTTTTAAAAGAGCAGAATGGTAACTTCACATTAAAATCAAAATTAAAAAAAGGAAAAAAATTATATTGGTCTTCTCCACCACCCCACCCGACCCACCACAAATCCATCCCCTTTAACATAGACAGGCACACTATCCACAGGCAGATGATTTCACATAGACAGACAAATTCTTGCCAAGAATCCATATCGGAAATGGCCTGAGAACAACCCCTATGTTCACAAGCCAATCCCCTTCTTCATTAAAAACAAGATACATCAACTGTCTGAGCCAAAAAAATATACCAATCAATACATTTTCAATTTTCAAACCCTGATTCCATGGATCTACAAAAAAATTCTTCAACCCAAAGCATACCAATTAGTATTTAATCGCTCAGGAACATCAATCATCCACTCAGGAAGCATAAGCTGCTTTGTGAACCATTGGCAAGCTTCGACCCCTTTTCAGTCTCGATGCCTGTCTAACATCGTCTATGTCTCTTAAATCTCAATGCTGTTCTTGGGATTCGATTTTCAATTTGGGTTTGAGTTCCGATTTAGGTTGGAGTTGGAGGTCGGGCTATGCTGGTTCATATTAAGCAGGTTGAAGGGTGAGAACAATGGTGGCTAAACAGCGTGCTTGGTGTTGAGCGTCGCGACGGTTCTGGGCCTACCATTGTAAGGAGATTTCTCGGCGCCTTTACTGGTTTGAGATAGCTGGCCGTTTGAATGGACGGCGGAGTTCTTGCGTCGCCATCGATTTAAGCAACGGGTGGGGTGGGATGGGGTGGGGGTGGAGAAGAAGACCAATATAAATTTTTTCCCTTCTTTTAATTTTGATTTTAATGTGAAGTTATCATTCTGTCCTTTTAAAAACTATTAAAATGTGGTCAAAATCAATTTTTTGGTCAACTAACGAAATTTTGGATAAAAATCGTCTAAAGGGGCAGCATATGCAACGTTTGGAAATATTAGGGGTGACGGTTACAACAAATCAAAAGTTTGGAAAAAGTCTGCTAGTATTGTAAAGATTTGGGGCTTCTACTGCAATTATCCCTTATTTTAATGTGCTTGTTAGTTATTTTAGAATAGAAGTTATTTTCAACTTTATCAACAAAAACTTCTTTATTTCAAAACGAGTTTTTTTTATTCATATGCAAACTTATATGTATTTAATTAAAGATTATCCAAATATGATGCATGACAAAGAGGAGCATGATGAGGTATCGTAGAACAAATTTTTTTTCCCTTGTAAACTCTCAGCCTTATAAGTTTTAATTTCTTCCTCCAAACTTCTATATTCCATATTTTGGTGGTTTGAATTTTCAGAAAATGAACTAGACTAAACAATTGTTATATAAGTACTTTTTCTATGATGTTTGGCAGGAATAACGCCGTAGAAAATGGGGATTTGAAAAGGTTAGGAATGGATTTGGAAATAATGGTCTCGTCAATATCATTAATTTATTGGTTTATTCATATATAATATAAAAGGGTTCGAAGGGCTAAGTTATTAATTCGTAATCATATTGTACATCCAAACATTTTTAGTATAGCTTTAATGTTATTTAAGAACTAATCTTTTTTGAATATAGTGATATGAGGTAAATTTTTAAACGCAATAATTATGTTACATTATCGATGGACAAAAGTATCAAATAAGAATCGAAAAAAAAGTGTTTCACTATTAGTGCTAACAAAAAGTTGATTATGAATTAAGTCCAATTCTCGATTTGTAATTATTTCGCGCGGGTTAGTCGCTAACAATTAAAAGGGATCAGACGATTGTATAAGGGACAAACCTCTTGAGACAAAGTCCCAAAAAGGAGTGTTCTTTTATTGGCGATGACTTTACAATTGGAAATGAAAGACAATGTGCCTCAAAGGGGCGCAAGCACACGAGTTACTGAAAGAAAAATGTTTAAGTCTAAAAATTAAAGAAATGAAAGTTACATGTTCTCTGTTTGAGAGTTTTGGATTCGCTCCTTTTCTTTTATGTCATTTCTCCCTTTTATACTTCATGGACGATCTCTTTGTGATCAACCGCTCTAAAAACTGCTTGATCGTCCTATAACTGCCCACTTTCTTCGTAATGGCCAACTTGTCATAAAAACTGCCTTTTTTAACTGCTGCCATTACTCCTCTTCGTTCAACCGCTTTCGATTGAGTTCCTTGAATCGTGGAACGTGATAGGGCTGCTTCGATAACTGCCTTAATGATTGCACTTCTTGATAACCACGACGCTTTATGTTGTTAAGACGTTGGGCGACTTGAAGGTTTGGGCGAGAATAGAGTAACAGTTCTGGGCGACTGTATGACACTCCATTCGCTCAAATTCTGGGCGACTTGCAAACTTGGGCGATGGCGTTATCGCGTTCTTGGGCCTCCTTATTTGAGCCTTCATCTTGATTTGTTCGATTGGGCTTCGTTCTTTGGGCTGTCTGATTTGGGGATCTTCCAATTGGGCTTCACTCCTTGGGCTGCTCGATTTGGGCTGAATTTTTATGTGTCAACAATTATCCCCCAATATGGCAGAATAATTATTAAATTTTGCCATATTCACTTTGTGTTTCAAGTAATATTCGAAATTCCCAAGAATTTCAATCATTGTTTTCTTCTATAACTTGAAAAAGTGCGTCGTTTTGCAAACCCTTATAAACCTCAAACACGCCATTTTACTGCCATCAAATCACGCCTCATATTTTTTGCGTCTCTTTCACGATTCACTGTTCACCTTTTACTTCTCTGCTACGTAACCCTGAAAAGCTTCATTCCTTCTCAAATGGCTGCTTCACAATCTCAGGCTAGCGATTCCTTCAGTTTTGATGACTTTCAAAGACTTCTGAGTCACCCATACATAACCCCAAGTTTTCTCGCACCCGCCGATGTTGGACGCAATGAGTTCTACTTGGGTCCTTTCTTCAACAATGCAGAGGCAGTTGAACAGGTGGCGGTGGGTCAGCTGTTTCCTTGCACTCAGGGTCCTCCATTCCTGAACTCTCTACCGTTGGGGCCACTTCGTGAAAGAGGTATTCGCACTTGGCCTAAATCTGATGTAGCTTTTCGTAGGTGGCATGCTTGTCTTGTGGGTTATGGTCCTACTAAGGCACTTTTTGATAGCGCTAGAATTTCTGATTTGTTAGAAGTCTCTATTCGCCCCATAATTTTGATTAAGCACTCTTTTCGATTGCTTTGAGTTTTTGGTCCCCTTAGTATCTTAGCCCCATGTCTATTACATTAAGGGATGTTGGGGCCCTGGTGAATTTACTACCTTTGGGCGATACCATTTTTCCAGGTATCTTAGTTTCTAGTGGCGCCCCAAAATTTGGTAAAAACTATACCGACTCTTATTCAAGCCTGCAGACCCTCCACAATCATTCGAGTGCTGAGCCTAGCCATACTGAGCGAGTGGCCTTCTTTTTAGTTTGGCTTTGTAAATATATTTTGTGCGTTCCAAGTATAAAGCCCTCTCTGAGTTATTTACCTATAGCGCACAAATTAGCGCGTGGCAGGCCTTTGAATTTGTGTTCTTTGTTTTTTGCTGCCCTTTATAGAGGCATGGCCTCTCTCCAAGCTCAATTGAAGAATGGCGCATCTCCTACTGGCAGTGGACCTCTTTGGTTTACTTAACTGTGGTTGAGATCCTATTTTCCATCGCTTGGTACTCCATCCATTTCTCGCCCTTCTGCTAGCTGTTACGGGCTAGCCATGGAGCCCATAACTCCTGTAAATATGTCCAGAAGGGACATTTTTTCATTCTTTTATTCTTTGGATTCAATCTCTTCCTTTTTTCCTTTTCCTCCTTTTTTGACTCCAAACTATGTACATCCCTCTTCCACCAAAGATAGCACGAGCACCTCCCTGCTCATTTGGATTCAATTTTTAACCGGGAGGGAGCTATTTCATGATATTCTAACTGGGACTAATGCCAAGGCAGGGGTAGAGATTTATGCTCCCCAATTTTTTGCTCGCCAGCTTGGTTTTGGCCAAACTTGGCCTGTTCCTCCTTGCTATTCAAAAAACTTAGTTGACCGTTTTCATACCATTACTAAAGCGGAGGCAGGGGCTATAGATGCTCGTAATCTCCTTTTAACCAGTCATTTTTCATTGGCCCCTTTCAATTCTAGCCACGTCATTCACCCTCTTTTTGAATAACTCTGGCCATCAGTGAAGCGCAGATTATTTGCGACTGATGCCAATCGTGCCTTTCATTCATTAGACCAACCGAGTATTTATTCTCCTCCTCCTGTTTTGGTCACTCCTTTGTCTGTTCGGAGCCCCTCTTCTTCTCGTCGCACTAAACAATCTGCTCGTCCATCTTCTTCCCTCCCTGCAAGCCTACTACGGCCAAGAGTGCTCCAAGTCGCAAACGGCCAGCCTCAGCATCTCCCATTCTGGAGGATGATGTTGATGATGATGATGATGATGATGATGCCCTTCTTATCGTCAGGAGGACGGTAATTAAATTGGTTTACTTACAAGTATACTTTTCCACATTTGAAACTTTTATGTGTGCTGATGATCTTTTGGATTTCTCAGAAAAGCTCAGTCTCTCCTTTAAAGGCTTTGACATCGACAACTCCAGCTCCATCATCTTCTGCTGAGGCTACTTCAT